TCGGTACACGGACCGGTGGGGGGCCAGCTTGCGTCTGCCATTTTCAGCTCCGTTGAACTTAATTGAGGCAACCTCATAGATCGGTGCTGTGCTGCACTCGACGCGCTTCGCAAAGCAAAGCTATAATGCCCTGCCTGCTTTTCTGACCTGTGAAATCCACCGTGATTTTCCACCCCTCAAACAGGATAATTGACCTTAAACATGGCTCGTTTGATAAGATCGGTCGCAACAATCGGCTTGAAAACGCAAAAGGGATCGCGAACTCGCTCGGAGCTCGAACTGATCAACTCGGACAAGATGGATCCTCCTTTGCAAAGGAGAAACATCAGAGAAATGTGTGCGTGTACTGTTGAAGCTCGGATAGTATCAGGAAACGAAAAAAAAATCGTGGTCGAAGCATTCTCCATCGAATCGCGAGGCGGTTATAACAAACTTAATCAAAACATATCGAAACGTTCTAATTCGAGACTTCTATTTGATAGTTCGCCCCTTTTCCATGCTGACTCAAAACTAATTCATTTGCACAAAATTAAGTTTGAGGCCGGGAAAAAAAAAGCTCGAGTCCCAATCGCTACTCAATATGTACTTTCGTTTCGTTTCGTTACATCGATTTCTTCGTTCCTCTGCCACGGAATCGACAACGCGATATCGAACTACCGATCGGTGATTCATAATCACGATCGTTGGCAAATGTTTGGTTATGGAGTAACTCTCGGAAGACAGAGCTCAACGAACGTGAACAGCGTGATTCCGGTGAAAATGGCCAAGGCTGCGCGTGGTCTTCTCCGACGAATGGCGGTTGTTTGCGCCGCAGTGAGCGCCGATTTCTCCGGACCGACTGAATATTTATCTCGCCGGGGATTCGTAACACGACAGACCGACCCGATTGCCTTAATTCGCCGCGCGAATTCGTGAATTTTTCAATCGCGTCGGCGGACTTACACGACGCTGCGCAGGTGATTTCGTTCCCACGGTTTCTTTCGACTGACCAGCGGACGGCTCACGGCTCGAGACTGAAGAACGTTGTTATTCATGGTTTCGTGAATTTTCGTGCTCGGCGGCGCGGTCTCCGCGCGGCTGCTCGTTACGTTGCGACGAGCAGGCTGTTCTCCCGGAGGAGAACAAGAAACGAGGAGGAAAGAAAAAAAGAAAGAAGAGAGAGAGAAGAGAAACGAGATGAATTTTTCATTAAGAAAGCCGCGAGTGTAAACGCACGGTTGAAAATGAAGGAGAAGACAGAGGGGGAAAAAAATATTCCGTAACCGTGAACCGTGAAATTCGCCCGTGGAACGGAGGCACGGTCTGCAGGAGTGGTGTCGGTGGCCTACTAACGTTTGACGTCACCGCGAGAGACTTCGCCTCTCCTTCCTCGTCCCCAACCCGGTTTTTCTCTCTTCTTGGCAGAGAATGGAAACGGCGTGACCAGGTGACCGATAATACGGGGCAGAGTCGAGAACAGACGGAGGAGGAACGCGCGCGCGGTTTCAAGGATGCGGAAGAATCGACCTCGTCAATTTTCGCTAACTAATCACCCGGGTGGATTCTCTCCCCCCGGAAGTACGGCCAGGGGAAGCTTGTTTCTCGATCGTAGATCAAAACGGAGCGTGAGATGAAGCGGTAAGGAAAGAAAAATGAAGAAGGAAAAACGAAAAGAGAGACCGAGACTGATCGAGCATCGAGTCTCTGTCGAGGAATCTTTGCTAAAAAGGCTCGTTATTCCGCGTGTTTGCGCGATAACGACACCCGCCTCGTACTTCCCAATCTTTTTAGAGCCGGCCCGCTGGAGTAAACAGGCGAAGAGAGAAAAAGCGGCGGCCCGAGCCACCGAGTGGTGTCACACTTTCGAGACCAGCCTCGCGCTAAAGGTATTATGCAAGCCGGTAAAAATGGCCAATGCTCGAGGAGAAGGGAAGATCAAACGATTGAAGTTGTTCAAAGATTGAAGTTCACCAGCGCTAATCGCTCCGCCTCGACTTTGAAGTTAAATTACTGGCCGTCTGCAGGAAAAAAGCTTCGAATTTGATTTAAAATGAAACATGCCAATGACGTTAAACGGCTACGAGAAAATCGTGACAGATTCGTACCCGAACGGAGTGGAATTCGTTACTTTTGCGCCTGAAACAGTAAATGGAATCTGCTAGACTGAAACAAGGTAGGGCGAAATACGATACCAGATATTACCAGAGGGTGCGATAGAATACCGGTGGTCTACTAGACAGATCTACTAGGCAGTTTCATCGTAGTCCCGCCCGCGGTATTTCCTGATAAAGTCCGAAATAACTCTGGCTCCGTCCTACAGTTTACTTTGATAATTACTCGTGTATCAGAAAGCTCGATTTATCACGGATTTGATGAACGCTCCCGTCGAATATCACACTAGTCAGTTTCTAACTTGTTAATACGATCGTCTCTTGGCCAGACGAATTTCTACAATTTCACACCGTGTGACGTGCGAACAGTTAATCTTTCTGGCACCGAAAAAAGTAATTCTGAGCCAAACTGACTCAGGTAGTCTGAGTAAAGATTAGAAAAATTCTGTTTTAAACGAAAGCTGCTAAACTTCAAAAAGCCACTGTACTTCGAATGATAAATTCTGTCATGCGTAACATCCAGCAATACTATACATAATATACATAAATCGGCACTAAACGGGTCATTTAATATTGAACGTACCTGCATTTTACATATACCTATCTTACCATAAAGGGTCAAATGATCCCTCGTGGTACATGCAGGTATGCAAAGAATTTTTCTCGGTGATCCCTCGCGGTACATAAGGTATGCAGAGAATTTTTCTTGGTAAAAAAAATGAAGCTAAGAGAAAAACAGAAAACGAGAAATCGAACAATCAGATAATATAAGAATTTACAAAAAGTCAGATTAGCGAAAGAAATAACGACGAATTTAAAGTAAATTTTGAAAAGGGGTCATTTGATCCCGCTTGGTACGGTTAGTGTTAAAAAAAATGAATGATCTAACATATATATATTTGATTTTTAATTTTCTTCAAACGAGTGTCGCAACTATGCGATAGAAGACAAATAACAAAGCTAAGGCTAGATAAGTGAAATGCAAACGAAAGGCTGCCCTTTCAGAATCTCAGAGTGACGAAGGTGTTATACCGCGGGAGTCGAACGAGCTTCGTTCAAGGGCAGCGTTCCATTTTACTCCGGCGTGTTCCAGGCAGAGACGGCGGACGTAAATTAAATTGAATTAGACTCCAACCCGCGTGTAATACACACGCTCGTATTTCACGTTCTAGGCCGGGTGCGCGTCACTTTTAAGCGGAACGTCGCGTCGTCGCTCTCGCATTGTAGAACGGCGCGGCGTAACCCAGTTCTGGCACGCGTATCGTCCGTACGGGG